GGTCCCTGATGCCTTGCCAAGCTTGTTCTAAGTAGGTGCTTTAGACCACTGAGCCATCTCTCCAGCCCCCTGTACAATGAAAACTAAAAAAAAACTTGAAAGAAAATACACGTGTGCACACAATAAAAGACACACTCTACATCCACGGGCTGGAAAAATCAATACTATTCAAATGTCTCAACCACCTAAGATCATCTACAGATTCAATGCAATTCTTATCCAAACACCAAGGACATTATTTGTAGGCAATAATGTATATATTATAGATATAGATATAGATATAGTATTTTAGTAAGGGTCTACAGGGTAGCACTATGTAGACTGGACTCGTAGTGATCCGCCTGTGTTCAGCCTCCCAAGAGCTGGGATTACAGGCATGTGCCACCATGCCCAGTCTCAATCACCGTCTCAAAGGGCTCTAGGGGTGGAGCTGACATGGCAGGCCTGGATCGAAGCCTGGCCGCTGCATCCACCTAAGCAGGCACTTTAATCCGCTGAGCTATTTGGCTGGCCCTGTATGCAATTACAAAAAATCCTGAGCAACCAATGTAATTTTCAGCAGCAAAGACAACAACAACCAAAGCAGGAGGCATGACACTACCAAACTTCAAAAACACTTCAAAACTATGTAAAACAGACACCCAGATCCAGGTATGGTGCTGCACACCTGTAATCTCAGCACTGGGGAGGATGAGGCAGGAGAATCACTTAGAGTTTGAGACCAGCCTGGGCTACAAAGGGAGCTCAAGGCCAGCCTGAACTGCAGAGTGAGACTGTGTCTCAAAAACACCAAAAATAGGGCTGGTGAGATGGCTCAGTGGTCTAAAGCACCTACTTAGAATAAGCTTAGCAAAGCATCAGGGACCGCGGTTCAATCCCCCAGCACCACATGCCAGCCAGCCCTGCCCCCTGGTGGGCTGAGCTGGCCCCCACACACACACACACAAATAATAAAAATTAAAAAAAAAAACACCAAAAATAAAAATTACATTAAATTTTAAGAAAACAGACACCCAAGGGCCAGAGAGATAGCTCAGTGGGCTGAGTGCCTCCTTACACAAGCCCACCACATGCCACGCTGGCCCCATCCCCAGGCGTGTTGAGCGAGAGACTGAATCTGGGCGTGGTGGTGCACACCTGTAATCCCAGTGCTGGGGAGGCTGAAAACAGGAGGCTCACTATTGAGTCGAAGCTGCGTAGTGAGACTCTGTACCAAATACATTAAATAATAATAATAATAATAATAATAATAATAATAAAACAGACACCCAGACCAATGGGACAGAACAGAGGCTAGAAGTGAGCCCCTCATTTTTTTTTAAATTTTATTTATGTATTTGTGTGTGTGTGTGTGTGTGTGTGTGGCCAGCTCAGCCCACCAGGGGGCACGCTGACTGGCATGTGGTGCTGGGGGATTGAACCGCGGTCCCTGTGCTTTGCCAAGCTTGTTCTAAATAGGTGCTTTAGACCACTGAGCCATCTCACCAGCCCAAGCGCCTCATTTTTGAGAAGGAGCTAAGCACATGCTCTGAAGAAGGCAGCCTTTCCATACAGAGTGCTGTGTAAATCGGACATCCACACGCAGACAGGTAAGAAGAGGCTCTAGCTGGATGGAAGACTTAAACCTAAAACCCAAAACTATGACACTTCTAACAAGACAGCAGGGAGGTGCTTGAGGACCCCGACATGGATGAGAAACTTTTGGACGAGGCACCAAAAGCACAGGAAAGAAAAACAAAAGCAGACAAACAAGTGAACGGAAAAGCTTCTACACAAAGGGATCATCGGAGTGAAAGGACAACCGACAGCTGGAAAAAAAACATCCCTGCAAACTGTACATCTCACCAAGAGTTAAGGTCTAAAAATTCAATTTAAAATTGAGCAACTGGGGCTGGAGAGATGGCTCAGTGGTCTAAAGCACCTACTTAGAACAAGCTTAGCAAAAGCATCAGGGACCGCGGTTCAATCCCCCAGCACC